TAATTAACATATTAATTACCAAATTTAAGCATTTTCATTTGTTTCTCATGTACCATTAAACATATTTCAATAAAACTTGGTATGTAGAGTTCTGGGATAATACGAAGTAATGATTATCTTTAATTGAAATTCCTTGCATATTAATTAAGTACCGTTCAACAGATTTGAATGAAGCAGGATACATAACTGTTCTTGTATAAAACACAATCTGGTTTAGTTTTTGGTTGAAATCTGTGTATATTAATGACCTAATTTGCTTTTAATTTAACCAATATGTACCTTTTCCACCAATATCTCAACCACTCATCAGATTCAATGAACACACTTGTAGCTGCTAAGGTATGGGCCATATACATGCTCAGTTTAGGTTTAATTTTGTGCTTACTAATAATATAATTTGCATAAAGAAACCAATTTATAGGTGTTCCATAAATATTAATGAGACTAAGTACATAGGTGTATTTAGATAAACAACATTTCTGATTACTTCGGGGTTGAATCCATGCATATTAATTTCATGTGTGTTACTATGCATAACTGTAATGTACTAAGTGCTGTTGCAAATAGGGACATGTAACCAGTGCTTTAATTGTCTGACAAGATATATATGACCACAATTGTAAGTCATCATTTATGGTCATTATTTCATTAAATATTTATAATCATTAAACCATAGCTACTTGGAACCACCCAAATCATTTGCTCTATTTGAAGCTTACTGTAAAAAAATAAAGGACATAAATAGTATATGGTCAAAATAAGACATAGTTCAATGATTTTGCATTCAATAAATACAATGCTTTTTATGTGTAATAGAGTTGTGCATCTAATATAGTAAATACAGTATTCCTTAGTTGTAATTGATGCCTCGAATACCTTCACACATTCACATATGGACAGATATTGAGATCTTGATGTATATCATTATATTTTTTGATGGGTTCAAAATGGCCAACTGGTGGCCATTTGTTTCTAGGAATGCAGTTCCTGATCCGTATATTCAACATATATGCCTTGACTAATAAAGTTCCTCACACATACTTCAGATATTGGACAAATGCACATGCATTTTTGTCACCATCTAATCCAAAATGGCTGACTGGCGTTCATCTTGTTTGAACGAATGTACTTCAGTGGAGATATATCTCATACATGCCTGGACCAATTATGTTCAAACTTTACACATGCATTGTACATTAGGTCATGTATAAATATAAACATCTATAAACTTGGACTATGCCATTGACAATGACTTGTTGACAATCTAACTTCTCAGGTGTTTCCTAACATTCAAACTCATTATTATTGTTAATAAATAGATGACCGCTGTGTGAATCATGTACCAACTATGAAATGGAAATATGACCTGTGGCACGCTCATTGGCTGAAACATGTGAGATCTTGCAAACTTATCTATTTCTTATCTATTCAAACTTATCTATTTCTACATGCAGGTTTGTCATAAAAAGTGAATCAGCTGAATGCAGCAAAGACTGGAAACCCGTTACTTTGTTTCAACCCAAGCAATTTGTTGCTGGCCACAACACGTTTTTTATAAGAACCAAAACATCATTAGTTGTTCTGGATGCAGACACGCTTTTACCATTGGAAGTTACTTTTAACAAAATAAATGTTGACAACTCATCCCAGTCTACAAGTGTGTGGTTAGATAAAGAACTTTATCACATTGATGTACTAGCATCTAGAATAATTACTAGATCCGGTCCTACTGGGGATGATGTGGAGTTCTATAGACTTATATTTGCAGCTGATGACCAGGTGTTTCTTCTAGACAGACCATGCATTAACAGGTGTGTGTACATTTCATGTAATGATTCAGTTTTGTGGTAACGTGAGGCCCAGTCAACTATATACATGTATAGATACAATCTTTATAATTACTATATCAGAGGTATTTTTCAATTCAGTGTAAAAAAATAATTAACTATCAATTGATTGCATGAGTGGTCAGCATGTCACCTAATTAACAAATTGATGTATCATTTAATGGATTCTTTTGTTAATATTTTCTATTTATTTGCACTAGTGGTGATAATCCAGCTCCTTTAAATGTAACAGCTGAAGTTGAAATACCAGGAAGAGCAGTTGAAGCATGTTACATCAGTGAACAAGGTAAGTGTGCATTGTGGGAAATTATGATATGAGACAAATTTAGAGTACATTGCTAAAAAGACAACAAGGGGTTTGCAAATAGCTCAATGAGCAGCGTATCTAGTTCCAACCACGCCTAGTAAAACTTGGTAACTGTTTCATCTTTGATGTCATGCGACCATAATATAGTCTTAGAACATTTAAGGTATTAATCCTATGACAATCTATGAAAACAAAGAGATTAATTAGACTTGAGAAAAAGAGTCAGATTTAGAAACATGGCATTTAGTGTGTATAAAGTCCCGCAATAATGCATATTGAATTGGCCGAGGAGTACTTGGTGTGTTTTTTGTGTAATTTTCATACAAAATTTGGGGGTGAGGTGGTGGTGTCATTTAAGTATTATTTTGGGAGAATTCGCAAATGATGCCTGACATTATTGCCTATCTTAATTTTATCATGGAGTACATGACATAAATGTATATAATTTGCATCACAATCACATGATAAAGTTTGTGTCCAAAAAACAGACTTTCCATCTTACAGCAATTTTTTTCTTATTTATAATAAGAAAACATGAGTACATAATTAATTAAGTTCCCCTTCAGATTGAAATATACATAATTATATTTCAGAACCCTTATCATACATTAATATTTTACATTGAAATTGTAGTTTTGTATAAAATTTTGGTATTTTAACTAAATAAAGAATTGTGAACCTAATTATTTGCATGTATTTTCCCCTATTGCATTATCTTTCTTAAAATGTAACACTATTATTAATTGCAGCTGGATTTGTGGTGGCCGTAACATTGAATGACAACAGTGATAAATTACACCAAGACCACTTGATCTGGTACAGTACCAGTGGAGAGTTATGTGGTGTTTTACCATTCCTTGGTAATGGACCACATCATTTGTACAACGTGTATCTACCAGGAAAACAAAATGAAGATAATACAGAGGGATGGTATCTTTATTTCACTGATGGACACGGAGGATTATGCTGTTGTAAAATATTCTGAGAATAGTGATATAGATATCTTAGTCATTAATTTACTTATTTTTGTATCATCTATTTGTCTAATTGACATGTCGGAATTATGCTTTACTCACAATTAAATATTTAAATCCCCAGATATAAATGCTAGTACATTTATGATTATATGGCTGTGTTGCCAGTCATATTTTTACGTTTTTATACATTATTTTAAAATGTAATAGATATGTAGCTTCTATATTAAATATAATAAGCCGTAAAACGTGTTCAGTGCTATATCTTTAAACTTATAAAGGGGTATCAAAGTCCTAGGACCTTTGTGGTCTAAAACAAGGAAAATTTATGAGAACAAAAGATTCGATTCTGGAAAAGATTTTGTGAATATAACTGAATTTGTCAATGTCGTTCATTATGTTCCTTTGATATTTCCTGCAATACAAAGATACAGTCAACCTAGGAGTATTCTTTTCAATAGTGCTCTTTCAGTAGTTCACTTCAAAGCTAAGTGGTTCCATTTGCTGTAGCAACGTCTCTAGTTCTGCTTTCTATTCATCGACACATAGTGTGAACTACCAAACTAAAAGTTTTTGCATCTTGTGTAGTAACTTGTTTTTGGAAAATAATCACAAATCTGAGATGGCTGTTACCCCTGTATCTGTGACCACATTACCTAAGCAGTACGCCACCACACAAGCTTCCTAAAAGGGGGATCTCATTGAGGGGTGACATTTCTGGGGCTGTGAGTGTGCCCCTATTTCTTGGGTTGACAATTAATGCAGATAACAAGCTACATTTTCTGTTGAAGAGAAGTCTAAATTTCTACTAGCTAGT